GAAGCCGTTGAATGGAGAGCTGCTTCCTGAATGGGCCAAATTGCAGGCCGTCTATTAGAGCCAAGAGATTTGGTCGGATTTCAGCCACCCGGCATCGAATTAATTTGGCACCGCTTTTTTTGCGACTTTCTTTTGGATAAATGCTGAAAAAAGGAAAATAAAGCTGGCATATGAAGCGATATTTTTGGAACACAATCAATTTGTTAAGAAAGGAGGAATGGGAAAAACTTGGCAGTGCACTAAAAGAAATGAAAACTTGAAGTGTATTTTAATTTAAATTTGTAAGGTTACCTATTCAAATTAACTTACTGAAATTTTATCTTAAAGTCCCTATTTAGTTCTTAAACATTTTGGAATTCATTAATATCAAGAGCTGTCGTTACTGTAATGCCTCTTCAATTTATTAGCTGATCGAGTTACGAGCAATTTTTCAACCATCTGTAATTTTCGATTCTCGGATTTCAATCAAAGGAAAATATTTGCATTTTTCACTTAGCCAGGCGGGCGAAATGAAATGCCAAACAAAGGACACAAAATGCGCCAAGGCAATAAAGTGTGGAAAAGGAAACCGAATAATTGTATAAATAAGAAAACGAGCCACTAAAGAGGCTGGAGCGGCAGCCTTGAAGTTCCATCTCCTGAAAGGAATTAAACTAATATTTATCAAAGAGATGAGCGAGACGTGCTTCAAGCTAAACAAAAGACGACAGCGAAAGCGGCGCCATCCGAGGAGAAATGAGGAATGGCCCGGGAAAGGACGACGGCTGAGCAGGATGTGCGGGATGAGCCGGAGGATCCCAGGGATGCTGCGTCACGCGGACTAAGGCAAGTGACGCTGTCAAAAAGCGGAATGAATGGACCTGCTCTTGTCTGCTGATACACTGGGTGAAATTTGCGATTAGAGATTTCATTCCTTAAATATAAATTTAGGTCTGTCATAAGACAAGTTAACTTTCTTGAGTCTTTTTATGACAAATAATAAGTTTATATAACTTCTAAAGCTGTCTAAAAGTATGCAATAAAAAAAGGAACAAATATTATTGCATACTTTTGGAATCTACTAAAAGTTTATTCAAAACAGGATGATATTTGGATAAGTGATTTTAGTTCCTAATATAAATCAAAGTCTGTCATAAGTAAAATTGATGTTGCCATTTTTACGCACATCCTTCTTATTCAAATGATTGTATAACAAATCTGACATAACATCTAAAGCTGTCTAAAAGTATGCCATAAAAAAATAATACTTTATTTTATTGCATACTATTCAACAGTTTTATTTGTGATCCTAGACCTTAGTGACTTATGTGTATATTATTTAATAGATGCACAGTTTAAAAACCTGGTAGAAAGTTTCTGTGAAACTAGGCCGAACAAGTTGTGTCTCCCCTGATTTTTTACCGATTTTGAAACGCTTTTTTCCCAGTGAATGTGTGCCAGAGTGGCGCGAAAGTTGAGCCAACTTTATGCTAATTAGCAGCTGCTAACCAGCGTTAAAACTTTGCACTTACCAGGCACTGGAGGAGCTGGAGTAGCTGGAGGAGCTGGAGGAGCGGAACATCCCGACATGTGTTCTAATGTCCTCCAACCTGGCGGACCCGGAATTTACGGGCTGCCAGATCCTTGGGCATTGTGGCAACTCAAAGTGGATAAGTGCTGCTTTTCGGACAGCTGCTCCGCACAATGGACAGTGAGATATATATTTTGCGGGTATATATTCTTGGCTCAGCTCTTTTTATTCTGCCACTTCATGGCGCGCTGTCCCCCCGATACATTCAAAAATACACGATTTATAAGCGTTATTTCGGTTGGTGCGGCAGGCGGCTTGGGTAATTGCATTGAAATGGGAAAATAAAACGGCTATAAATATGCCCATTGTGTGCCAGTGCGATTCCAGAGCCAACAATGCGCGCCATAAATTAACTAAATTGAAAACCATTTTGGTGCAGCGCTTTTCAAAGCTCCGTTCCACCCAAAAACCCCCGACCTTCGGTGCTGGCAACACTTTTATATTCATTACATTTCGCAGTGAGCTCGAGTCTATTGTGCCCTGCATTTGAAAGGGAAACTAAGCTTTATTAAAGGGCTGGTAATTATGTGTTGCCATTGAACTGACAGCCGTTCCTTTTTTGTATTCTGCGCCCATTGAAAATTATTAAAAGTGCGGTTTGCGGCAGTGAATTTGACAGGTAAATATAAGAGTTTAAAAAAGTGAATAAGAATGTTAACCATATGACTTGGCACTTATAAAAAAAAAGTATTGATGAACGCATTTTTATTTTTTCCATTTACCAAATTAAAGAAGCCCATTAACAAATTGTTAATTGAGAAATGCGCCGATACACAGAAATACTTGTTTAATTATTTAATATTCCTGCAATAAAAAACGTTTTCACATTAAATCTCAAAAAGGCATATGAAAAAGTCAGTCGAAATGTAATCTGCTTGTTGTAATACCCAGTAAGAGCATTACGAAGCCAGCTCAGATTCTGGGCAATATTTCGTAGCTTTTTTCCCTCTTTGATGCGCTTTCCGCTCAGTGCGCACATAAATATGCAATAGAAACTTTTCTCACGTTTTTGATTGCATTTTTTGTGCAGCGTCATAAATATTTAATGTTTACTTTCGCCAGCAACCGGAAGTTTCGGAAGTGAGCTTCATTTTTTATACCCCCTCTCAGCACTCGGTGATCCACGCCCCTGTATCCTTGCAGTGTAGATGGGAATCCTTATTGCTTTTCAAAGTGGCCGCGGTAAATAAAGGCAGTGTGTTGAGTGCGGCGGATTTCCCCTAATGTCCTTATTAAAAAGGGGACTGGATAACACGACTCCTTGGCAATGTTCTCAAATGTGGCCAAAAACCACACGATGCACTTCATTAACTTAATTAAAAATCTTGGCGAAAGCTGGCAAACAGCGCATGTGAGTGCACGAAGGGCGGCAAGTGTAAGTGCAAGAACCGCAAAGCGAGTCATTTCCAGCTGAGTGCAAATAATGCGCTTTTCCACAGAAGCACTGAAAAAAATCAAAGAGATATGTAGAAAATGCGAAGAAAAATGCAAAATGCATCAAGAAAGGTGTCTAAAAGTATGCGGCGATATGTTTTCAAGCTTCTTATTTTATTGGATACTTGTAAAACCTTAAAAGTTTTGGAAGACTAGTATTCTTTATAATTTGTTCTCCTTTTTTAAACAATTTCTCCCGTGTAGCCACACATATGCAGCACCCACACACACAGTCACTTCCATAACGCAGCACACGGAGCGTAAACTCAATTAAAAACTGTCGAGCTGTTGCCGCCATGCCGCATTTCGCCTGATGACGGAAGTTGATTATCTTTATCCAGTGTCAGAAAAACACACACACATGTCGCTCTCTCTGTGCCGCCTTTCCACCAGGGGTTTTCCCAGGTTTTCCTAGCTCACTTTGTTTTTTCCCATTCACACTTAACGTGGCATGCAAATGCATTGTGCGATTCGTTTGTGCGCCCTTGGAATCTCTTCTATTATGGCTTGTAATTTATATTTTCTTGTTACCTTGGGTGCCGGCGCAGGTAATTGGATTTTAAATGCAGCTGCATTCATAAATTAGCCCTCTAACTGGCTTGGAATGCACTACGTTCGAGCAGAGGCCAGCACAGGAAGTGAGCCAAGTCCCTTGCTGAATAGCCAGATCTCATAAAAGTCATTCGGGAATCGTGCTTGGCCTGAGTTCTGGCCAAATAAATTTGTCATTCAACAGAGCGACCGCAAAGCTGCACAGGAAAAAATATAACATTTTAGAGGGTCTAGAAATTCTTATATATTTTCTGATACTAAGAAGCAGAATCTCATACAACAATTATTTAATGGAAATCTTTGTGTTTTGATACCAATATTATGAGATCTGAGCTTAAATCATAAGTATGTGAATATTTCTAATCCAAAAATATGTTTTAAGTATGCCTAACAGTAGGCAGTGATTTTTGTTATTCGACAAATGTTTTCTAGCTTCAACAGATTTTAATACAATAAAAATAAATTGTTCTTATACCATATTATTAAATTCACATGTGTTTGAGTAAAATGGAATTACTATCACGTAAACTGTGTAGTATTTCTGTGTACACTCGTCCTTTATACTACGCTTGCTGTGTGGGTTCATCTAAATGCAGAATAGAGCAAACAAAGTCGCAGCGAATGGAGTGATTGAGGTTCCCAGTGGCTGCATGTTTGGAATTTTTACGGGGGATGCACTCCCCCGCCCCCTTGTGCGCCCGTTCACCCCTTCTATGCCACCCCCTTTTCAGACAGCCAGCAATATCTGCGCTGCTCTGCTGCACTCTGTTGCAAATGCAATGCCTACAATGTCTCGAATGCGGCTAAGCATGACGTTGATGAAGCGCATGCAACAGCTCAACTTAGTTGAAGGTTCATGGAATGGCAGGCTGATGTTGCTGTTGCCGTTGCTGTTGCTGCTGTGCGTCGATGTTGCCGCTGTGCGGCGATGTGTTGCTGCTGTGCAGTTGCTGCTGCCGGCTAAATTTGTTGCTGACAATTTCTTGTTGGCGCCCGCTGTTCATGTTGTGGTTTAGTGTGCGTGTGTTCTAGACGATAAATTTTCAATTTTGCAACTGGCGTGGGCTGCCCGAGTTTCACTGAGTTTCCCTGTTTGGCTGCGTTTGTGTGAGTGAGCAGCGCGCTTTAGCGTTTCCGCCTGTTTAGCCACCGTTCAACGCAGCACAACATGGCGTATGATTGATGCCGTCTCTGGCAGACACAGGGCTTATTATATTTACATAAAAACAAAATCCCGCGTGGTTAAGGGCTGAGATGTGGTGGGCTGTCGCGGAAATTCTATACGTCATGTCTCGGGATTTGATGGAGCACCTGACACACACACACTTACCCACGGAGGTGGCAACAGCGACACCACCTCTTAATACACCCGCTTAACTCCCATTATGCGTTAAGGTTCTTTAATTACTTACACACACCTCATCACTTATCGCATTCATTGCAGAAACGCGCTGAAGACGTCCGCTGAGCTGTGAGACGGAGAAGGAGACGGGTAGAGAGGCGGCGAAAGAGACAGCAGATAGGTGAGTCTTTCAGCTGGCTTTAGGGTGTATAAGGGACCTAAAAATCAATTAAAGTACCTGCTCGGAGCTAAGGCGAAACATTTGTAATCTTTAAATTGTATCATCGAATAGGATAAGACAGAAAACCTTTGAGAAAATATGCCTTGAAAGAAGAAGGGCACTTTAATATACACACAAAAGCTTATTTTTGGTTACTTTTGGTGCATTATAAGAAAATTACTTTTAACTCCTTTTACCGTGCTATGCTATTATTGCAAAGGATAAATTGGCATTTGGTTGCCCAAGCTCGTGGCAGTTTTCAGGCTTTGCTACTCTTGATCCATAGATTTTTATCTTACGTTTACTGCATATACTTAACTTTCCGGGGAATTTAATTTTGGCATTATTGCAAAGCAGCAAATGCATTCTCCAGGGCACTCTCGGCCCTTGGAAAACAATTCAATTAGTGGCAGCTAAGAGACAAAGTCATCCGGCAGCCATATAAAAAGATTTTATGACTCACTTGCAGGATACTGGGGATCCTGGGCAAAGGCGTTCCACGTTCGTCCGGCATTCTCATAAAAGTCAGCATAGTCAGTACATTGAGTGGAAAATTGTTGGGCCAAGGATGCACTTTGTTGCGATGCAGCTGCAGCTGCCTGCATTTTCCCCAACCGGATTAGATTGCATTAGATTAGGGCTTCAGCATCAGATGTCCCTTGCTTTGTATCTGAAACTGGGATTAAATGGGGTCCTCTGTCAGCCGGGCGAAAAATCAAATCGATTGCAATTGCAATTGGCCTGGTGGTGAGCCATTACATTGATTGAAACCCCAGACTAGTACGTGTTTTGCAGCAGAAGGCCAACAAGTTGGAAATTTGCCAGCAATTAGCAGCTGTGGGCCCACGCCCACCGGGCTGCCGAAAGGCGGCAGGACAATGGACAAGGACAAAGGCGACACTTTAACGGAAAATGTTTCCGTAAATATAAGCGAAATGACATTTTTTATGATGATGTCACAGCGCGCCTGAGAAATAATTTTAAAACCAATAAATTGTGCGAAAAAACAACCGACAACAACAGAATGAGCTATAAAATGGCAACAACAAATGTTTGACTTGACAAAACGGGCATTTATGCAGGGACATAAATTCCTCTGGCGGGGAATCATCGATGTTCCTTTTTTTCGGGGACCTCATATGGGTGTTCGTACCATAAATAATCAAATGAAATAACAAAAGACTATAAGGCGCAGCTCCGCAATATGCAAATGGCCGGGTGGAAATGTGAAAAAAGCGTATTTCGTGATGTTTTCCAGCAGGAAACGGAAGAGAAGACAGGCCGTACCCGCAATTTATGTAAAACTCCGTGCTTTATTACATCACACACGCAGAACACCGCTCCCTTATATGCAAATCATATCACTCATACGCCCACCTAAACTTTAAATGCAAAAGCATTATCAAAAATGAAACACCAGTGAAAATGTCAGCCCAAGAAGGATGCGAATTCCTAAAGATAAGCAAATGTTTTTGTTCGCTTCCCGTTTCTACACATGTTTTCCGAACAAATTTTATTATGCACACAAATAAACAAACATCCACATCCCGAAATGCCTACATATGCCAGGCATTTTACACGAACTGTTGTTCGACACTCTCAAACAAAATTAATGGCAAACAATGATCTGCTTTTCCACTTTCCACTCACTTTTATGAGGCTCTGACTCAGACCTTGACTTTGGGGAAAGTGCTGAGCGAGAGGTGTGCCATGCACGATATTTGATATTCCATTTAAAAGGATTGCCCCACATGATGCTGGGTTATTTCGACTGACAGACTGCTCTAGAGAACCACATTTAACTTTTCACAGAGAAAAAATTCAAAGCGAAGGTCTGGAAAAGGAAATGGAAGAAAGTTTTAAACTTACACAATTATAGAATGCTTGCAACCAATATTCCGACAGGTTTTTTCTTTGCATACTTTTAGGCACCTTTATAAGTGATTTCAAAGCCCCAGTGGTTGTACACATTCCCCAAAGTAAAATATGTCAAAGCTTTCAAAAATGTTATTGTGTAGCTTTATAGCTTATAATTTTAAAGGATATGATAATTTTACAATGTGTAAAATTTACGACCGTCCATATTACAACTTTGACTAGCTGTCAAGAATAGATTTATAATATGTTTCCATGGCAACGAATATCTGATAATGGTTTGGCCAAAACATGATTATAAGTTTTCTTTATGATTAAATAACAGCTCTCTTTGTGTTAAGAAGTCTGGATAGATTAAAGATGTTCCATCCCGATTGCTTCCCTTATTTTGTTGCCCTGTGTAAGCGCACTGGCATAAATATATGATTCGAAATCAACGCATTTATTATTTACAACCAGCCAGCGCGGAGCGAAAAAAGTGTAAGGCAATGTAAACCAACAGCAGCTTGACACATAAACATCAAGTGCGCAAGAATTCAGCCCTCGGAAGCCCGTTTTGGGCCCTTTCCCTGGTTCCCAGCCAAGAGGAGCCCCGAAAAGGGGCGCCAATGTCGACAGCGGCAATTTAAAATTGCTGGCTTTTTAACTCGCATCCATTTACAGCAATTTCGTGAGCTCTCGAGACGTGTCCCTCGTGTGATGTGTCAGGTTGAAATTACATCGGGCACTTGGCAAATGGCAGGAACGCTGCAAGGATAACACATGCGAGTGCGTCATAAATAAGCAGGGACGGGGCAAAAATTGAATGCGGAAGGCAGGCTTGAGAAATCAAATTTTATGACTTTGTAATTGAAAAGCGCTGGCGAGGCATATGAAATGAGTGGGCGAACGTGGCGTATACGCAACCTCACGCATTCGCCGCGGTATGCTGCACGGATTTTAATTTCCGAGGTTTTCTTACTTTTCTGGATTCATTGCAGTTTTTCCTGTCGCAATTTACTTAATGTCTTGAACGATTTGAAAACATTTAGAAAGACACCTAGAAGATTCTTTAAAAATGTGGTTCGAAAGATACAATTTGAAGTTGCATACTTTCAGCACTTTAAAAAGTGTTTTTCTATGTTCAAGAAAGTCTTCAAATGAAACATGTTTATAAAAGGTACCATGAAGTAAAAGAGCTTACATTGCGCATACGCCTGGTGGGCTGAACAGATTTTAATCTCCAGAGGCTGCTGTTCTTGCCCCTTTTTTTTGGGGGATTTATTACACTTTCTCAATTTACCAGTGACTCACTTGGCTCGTGACTTTCGCCGCTCAGCCCCAAATCAGCTTGGCTTTAAAAATGCTGTCTGTGTGTGGTAAAAAAGCGAGCAGAAGAGCTTAATGCGCCAGAGTGGCGGCGCCAAGCCAAGCCAAGTCCCATAAAAAAGCGGGGGCGGCGGCGGCCGGGGGCGGGGCAGCAGACCATAAACTGCAACCATCAACTGCATCGCATTCCCTTTCGAGTTCCCCAGCTTTTCGGTTCTCCAGTCTTTCGAGTGGCTGCTGTGGGGGATACTCAAGCGGGCTGCTCGAAACAATTGCCAGTGATATCTGCAAAAATTAAGTTTACGCTGGCTGATTTTAAAAGCACTTTATGCGCATCCAGCTCTTATCTCTTCCCTGGATGAGCTTATTTCGGGGTGGCCAGTGGAAACTTAAGGATTTGCAAGCGTCAGCGCGGCCATAAAATATATTTTGTGTTAACTGAAAGGCGAGCCAGTAGATACTGTGCAGCACTTAATAAGCCAGGAGTATGGAAGGGTGGGGGCATGCAAAATCCAAATGGAAATCTCCGCAGTAAACTATTTGCTGGTTGCCAACTAAAATTACACTTGTTTAGCAAATGGGCTAGGACCCGGTTCCCCCGAATCGGATTCGGATTCCGGAGGAGCTGCTGAGGAGGGACTGTCAGCAAAGTCGAGCGATGCGGCAAACCTCAAGACGCTGCCGCAGAAGCCAGAGAAACTGGCAAATATTTGAAAAGTTCCCAGCCCGCAGGGGCCGGAATGCCGAAAACGAGGGCGGGAAAGTGGCCCATGCAGGACGAAGGACATAAATATTAAAATCTATGAATATTTACGCCCCTGTCAGCTTTGGCAATAGTACAAACAGGGCCAAAAGCGAGGCTTCCTGAGCTGCCAAATCGCCCGCCACCGCGCCCCCGAACGATTCATAATTAAATTACATTATTTATGTCCTGTTGCCAGGAGAATTCATCCGGACAGGAGGGCTTAGAGCGGCTTACGACTGCTGTTTGCTGACCAAATAATTGGGGCCATCTTGTCCCCTTGATTAGCATAATTAACACCGAAAGTCGCTCGAGCGCAGCCAGCCGCCAGAAACAATAAATTCGAGTGCACTCGCACAAACGGCCAGCATCGCAATCACGGAATGAACTCGTGCGCATTGCCAAATTTCCACATTTCCAAATTCCGAATGCCAGACAATTTCCCCCTGAATTTTCCAGATATTGAAACGCACACACTGCAATGTTTTCGCATTGCTATTTATTATTATACCCGACCGATTGGTTTGCCAATTTTCGTGTACATGCCCCTTTGTTGTTCGGTTTGTTTAGAATTTAGTGCCAATCGGCATGGATAAGGCTGAAAATTGTCAACTGTTCCCAGTGGCTTAAAATGCACTGGGTAATTTCGAGCGAACATTAAATGCTGTGTTCGAGGGAGGAAGTCTTCACAAATTTCAATGTTATTTGAAAATTGTTAAAAGGTTTTGAGAAGTATCCTATAGGAAACCATGCTGCAGATTTCGACATCTTTAAGCTAACACACATTTCACATTTTTAAAATTACATAAGATTTCGTAGTTCTAACTATCAGATATAATATCTTTGAGTTCGACTAAATCTTTTGAGAACAGAAGCTATGAAAAAGTCTGTGAAGTGGAATTTCCTAATTGTTGCATAGTACTATAATCATAAATGTAGACCCATCTACTTGAAATTCTGTGCCATTTTCCAGGCTCCTCCCGAACCATATTTTTTAACCCTGGGGAATAGTTTTATAATGATGCTGGGCTCGGGTCTAATGGTTTGGCCTCCTGTTGTTTCAGGTTTCACTCGGTTTTTGAGTGTCGAATGGCTCACACCTGCGTGGCTCAGGTGTGGCATCGTCTGGCCGTCTAGACGCCATTGCCCCCAACCGATTTACCTGATTTTCGGGGCTCAATTGCCACTTGGCCGCCTTCAATAAATCGTGCATTCAGACACATGGCGTTTTTAAAGCTCCTCTGATGCCCTCCATTGTGAGCGGTTCGACGACACCTCCAGAAGGCCTCGCAATGGAATTCAATTAGGGAGAAATGTATAAATTGTATTTCTTATGCCTTTTCCCTACGACTTCCACTGGCCACAAAGGGCGGGAAAAGCTGGGAAATAAATAAAAATGCCAAACGGAAGCTGCCCAGGAAAATGGCCGCAACAATGGCGTAGGCGCCACCGCCTTTTAGCTGCCCTTTGTTTATTTGTTTCGCATTTCCAAGAGCGTCAAGTGCCTGTGGGCGGTAGAAAGGGGCGGGGGCGTGGCCTGCGGTTCGTGCCAGGCAGTGAGCCAACAATTCAATAATCAAAAGAAGTATGAAAATTAATACAAAGGCATCGACAGGGGGAAGGAGGGACCCCTGATGATTCACCGCCTGTCCGGAAAATGGGGAAAACTCTTAGCGAGTACACAAACCATCAGCCGTTGGCCCCTGGGCCATGAAAACGCGTTTCGCGGTTGTTTCTCTTTTATTTTCCTTTTTACCACCGCCCGCACTGTTTCATTGTTTAAAAATTTTCTCTGGAAATTGTAACAACTGTGACCATCATTAGGGCGACATGTGCGTGAGCTGAGGTCTTTGTGTGGCTGGAAAAGCGCCGAGGAAAATGGGAAAGCACGCGAAAGCGTGGGATGAAAGATGGCCGCAAGCCCCTGAGTTTTATGCGAATTTAAATTCAGACTTTAAGTCACGGCCATTTGCACTTTATAAATACAGCTGAGTAATGAATTTTCCTCTCGTTTTTCTTCTTTTGCAGCCCTGGCGACAATCACAGAGTCCACGAAAACGACTGCTGAGATTTATTAAGAGAGATACCCGCGTACAAGGCATAAAAGTCAATGACCACATCAACTGGCGACCGCAGGCAGCGATTTTATTAAGCATACGCCCCCACATAAATTAGTAATCAAGCCACGCGGCCCCCGGCGCAACTAATAAGAGGGCTTTATTTTTATTGAAATTATGATTAATGATGTGGGCTGCGTACGCCGTCGCGGTGCGGTGGCGTATACGCAATGATGCTGAGGCCCGAAGAGGTGACAATGCTGGGCAGCAGGTCGGCACTGGGTTGCTCATCCGCCGCGTTAGCCCGCTCCCGGGCCCACCACCATTGAAAGACTGCCGATGGCCGTGTCTGGACAGGATTGGCGGCGCCATCAGAGCCACCGCCCGCAGAGGAGCCACAGGAACCACCCGAACCACCACCAGAAACTGATCTCCACCGCCACGCTGACGCTGTTCGTGCTCTTCCTGAGCAGCTGGATAGCCTATGCGGCGGGCAAGGCCACCGTTCCCGCTCCCGCTCCGCTCGTGGAAGGCGAGACGGAGTCGTCCTTGTCGTCCTCGTCCCCGTCCCTGCAGGACTTCAACAGCAGCAGCGCCTTCCTGGGGGCCATAGCCTCCGCCTCTGCCTCGGCATCTGGATCCTTCGGGCTCTCCTCGATGAACAGCAGTCCCATTGCCATAGTCTCCTACCAGGGAATCACGAGCACGAATCTGGGGGACAGCAACACCACCTTGGTGCCCCTTTCAGATACTCCCTTGCTGATAGAGGAGTTCGCCGCCGGGGAGTTCGTGCTGCCTCCCCTGACATCCATTTTCGTGAGCATTGTGCTGCTGATCGTGATCCTGGGCACCGTGGTGGGCAATGTCCTGGTCTGCATAGCCGTCTGCATGGTGAGGAAGCTGCGGAGGCCCTGCAACTACCTGCTGGTGTCCCTGGCCCTCTCCGATCTCTGCGTGGCCCTGCTGGTGATGCCCATGGCCCTGCTCTATGAGGTGCTGGAGAAGTGGAACTTTGGGCCGCTGCTCTGCGACATCTGGGTGTCCTTCGACGTGCTCTGCTGCACTGCGTCGATCCTGAACCTGTGTGCCATCTCCGTGGACCGATACCTGGCCATCACGAAGCCCCTGGAGTACGGGGTCAAGCGGACCCCGCGGCGAATGATGCTGTGCGTGGGGATCGTGTGGCTGGCCGCCGCCTGCATCTCACTGCCCCCGCTGCTGATCCTGGGCAACGAGCACGAGGACGAGGAGGGCCAGCCCATCTGCACGGTGTGCCAGAACTTCGCATATCAGATCTACGCCACCCTGGGCTCCTTCTACATCCCGCTCTCGGTGATGCTCTTCGTCTACTACCAGATCTTCAGGGCGGCGAGGCGGATTGTGCTGGAGGAGAAGCGGGCCCAGACGCACCTGCAGCAGGCCCTCAACGGCACAGGCTCGCCGTCGCCCCGCAGGCGCCCACTCTGGGCCACACGGAGTTGGCCAGCTCAGGCAATGGCCAGCGGCACAGCAGCGTGGGAAACACCTCGCTGACCTACTCCACCTGCGGGGGCCTGAGCAGCGGCGGAGGAGCCCTCGCAGGACATGGCAGTGGTGGCGGGGTGAGCGGCTCCACCGGACTGCTGGGCTCGCCGCACCACAAGAAGCTGCGGTTTCAGCTGGCCAAGGAGAAGAAGGCCTCCACCACCCTGGGCATATCATGTCCGCCTTCACCGTCTGCTGGCTGCCCTTCTTCATCCTGGCCCTATTCGTCCCTTCGAGACGATGCACGTGCCCGCGTCGCTCTCGTCCCTGTTCCTCTGGCTGGGCTACGCCAACTCCCTGCTGAACCCCATCATCTACGCCACCCTGAACCGGGACTTCCGCAAGCCCTTCCAGGAGATCCTCTACTTCCGCTGCTCCAGCCTGAACACCATGATGCGGGAGAACTACTACCAGGACCAGTACGGCGAGCCCCCCTCGCAGCGGGTGATGCTGGGCGACGAGCGGCACGGGGCCAGGGAGAGCTTTCTCTAGGGGACTTCCAGCAGGATCACAGGCCATCCCATCTGAGCTGCTCGAGGGTTCTTCTCTAGGTTTCCGGAAGAAGGCGATCCTCTGCTCGACACACTCACCCACTTAATTATACACACTGGGGTGCAGAATCTATATAAACTAGGAAATGTAAAGTTCTAGGGGTAAGGTAGTTTTTGGACAGTTTAAGTAGGTTATCCTTGGGGTCTTAAAGAAGAGATAGTTGATTATTGAATTTTTCGAAATGGTTCTGCCATAAAGCATAATGTATTGATATTTTAAATAATATTAAAATATATTATTTTGGAGCCTTTAAAAAGATTTTCAAAAATACAACTTGAATTATTAAATACTTTCTTAACAAATTGAGTTCCATGATGTCTTTGTAGACCCATTGGCCCAATAAGTAATACTGAAAGCTGTCCAAAAACTAAGTTCCACCCTATATGGCCACCCCAGTACACACACATGGATATTTGTATGTAGTAGTGTTAGTAGTGCGTATCTCTGTATATGTGCACCGCCCCGAAATTCGCATTATACAAGAGTATTTCAAGTGCGAACTGTAGACGACTCCTCTAAATGTAACTTGTTGTTGTAATTTTAAATGTAGAACTAAGCAATACCACACACAAACACACTCACACACACACGGTTGTAACTGTGACAGGTTTCTACGGTTCCTTTTATGTTTCGAAAACAATCAGCACCGGATATGAGACACAATCGTTATCGAATCTATTGATACCTCCCCTGGAAAACAACCAAAATCCCCCAATCCCATCCTGAAATTTGCCAGCGTAGTTAGTTAATTTGCGATACTCAAACTGAGCCAAAAATTAAATTTACAAACTGCGGAATGCAGCCAAAAGTTAAGCCTACTGATTAACCTAGATATACTTATGTTTTGTGCAAGAAGCTATCCACTGTAAATACCCAGCCATCTGCGGCTCTGTCTATAAAGTATATATAAATATATAGAGAAAGTAGCCTATATGTATACACTACGCTCAAGTGAGAAGAACTAAATTGTATTTTGTAACTTTCTGCATTAGTCTTTGTTGTATTTTGTATGAAAAGTCACGCCTCTCTGTGATACCAAACATTAAGCATTACTTTTATGTTTAGATCGAAGCTGCATCAAACGTACTACACACATACCTATACATATAGCTATAGTCAACTAAGTGTGCATGTTTTTATTGTATATGTATGTAGCACTGCGAGAAGTGCATTATGATATTCGCAACAAACCAACAAACAAACCAAACAAACAAAATCAACCCACAAAAACGATTGAAACTGAGCTATTCGTAACTTGATGAGATAAACTATCAACTATTTACATAACCCACACGCATACACCCCCACACACACACCCACGAAATTAAATGAAATTGAAAATTGAAAACGGAAGACGGTTAATGAAAATGAAATGAAAAACAAACAAGGGCAAACGAGCATGACAAAACTAAGCGCAGCTAATTATACGCAAACCGAACTAAAGTTCATTACAAAAACAAACATCAAATATTATAATTAAAAACAAAAAACAAAGTAATTGAGGATAACAAACAAATGAAAACTAAAACACTTTCCGAGTGAAGCTTACAAAACTGCAAAACTGCATTTGAAAACTGTTTTCCCGAAAAAAGCGTGCGGAGATTATGGCATCAAATAAAAGGCAAACCGTATCAATGTAACTTTTTTGCTTTATATGTTGTTTTTAATGTTTTGGGGGAAGGGAAATCTATAATGATAATAGATCGCTGACTGAGGTAAAGTACTTAAAACGAATTATAACAAACATGATTCAATGAAATTACAAAGTTCTAAAGTATGCAATGAAAAAAGTCATATCCATCTGACTTTAGAACTTAAATTATATTGTTGCATACTTTTAGACACCTTTGTAAGTATAGAGACGTCGAAGAGAGTTAAAATGACTAGCGATCTCTCCTTTTATTTCGCATAATAAGAGCTCCTAGGCAAGGCATTCTTTTTGCCATGCTATACAAATAAATTCTGTGAAAGCGACAGGTTTAACTTTCTAGAACTCACACAAAAAGCGGGTAAAAATCAGAAACGAATTCAAATCCAACGAATGCGATTCGCAGCAGCTGCTGGCAGTCTGTGCAGCTGAATGTCAACTCAATGCGCAATTTAACTGACTGGCGGGCCAAAAACATAGAAAAGCAGCTGCAAGCCAGTCGCCCATCGAGTGCATTCACCATTCAGCATTCAGATCATTGCGAATGACAAGTTGGGCAAACGTGCAAAATGCACAGAAACGGAAACGGAAGTGAAAAGCGTTCAGGGGAGAAAGAAGTGAAAGGGAAGGGGGAGGGAAAGCGGCGCCAACATGGCGTTCCTGCCAAAAGGCAAACACTAACAACTAACAAACATCTGCGGCGGAAGCTCTCGAAATGTGCGATGCTGTATGCAAATATCTGCACATTCCCCAGTTCCACTTTCTGTGAGGCATAAACAAGGCGGGGGATCCTAAGCAGCCCAGATTCCAGGAAACAGAAGCTCGAAAAAGGGTATGACAATGACAAAGTGAGGCGGATCTGACGGCGCCAGCAGCGGAATGCGTCTCACACTAGCAAAAAGTATCACCGAATTTGACAGCATTTCGGTATGTTTCTGGGAATGCACTGAGAAAAAAAATATGAACATTAAATATGGAATGTATTCTATAGTTTAGGCAATTTTTTTAAATCTCCATTGTAAACATGCATTTATTTTAATTAAAAAACGAAAATGGGTTTTTTGAAATTAGTATTATTTGATTTTATAAGGAATGTAAATCAAGAATTGGTCTGTTTTACTTAATGATGTCTTAAACCTTATTAAGAGTAAAATCTTTACCCCCTTAAAGAAAATTCTAAGCAGTATGGGCTCCTTGTTAGAAAACTTCTTATGGTCTCAATATATTTGGAAATTAAAATGGTAAGTGAAGAAAGTAACCCACTTTGGAGTAAGGGACCCTAAAATGTCTCGTAAAATTCCCCCTGTGCATTTGGCTCCTGGCTGCTTGCTGATAAATGATGATTTTACGCCCCTCCTCAGCACTACAGACTACATGCTAGGATGCCACTTTATGAGGCAGCCCCAAAAAAGGACCCTCGACGAGCACAAGGCCACGCCTTCCGCCTCGGATGTGGACTACGGGGATATGTGTTTTCGGTGCGCTTTGCCTTTCTGCTAAGCGGATCTGGGTATTCAAATAGCTGCGTTCGGCACGCAAAAAAATGCCGAAATGAAAAACCGGCTGACGAGTGCAGTGAAATTGCTTTGCAGCCAGGGAGCGTACACTTAATCGTATCGCCGGCAGTAAAGTCTGCAGTTTTACGACCGCTTTTTTCTATTAGCAGTTACGTGACACTAATGCGACGCTTATGAAACATCTCCAGTCGTCCTTGGGAACTTCCAGCGGGGGTTCTCTATTCTTTTTTAGAAGAATCGCTTATGAAAACGCCTGCAGTTGTCGGGCTCGTAACGGTGAAGTGTTAACAAGCACTCGCCACATAAATCAACGGACAGGACCCTTTTCTGGACGGGATGTCCTGGGAACAATAAAAGCCTGGCAAAAGGCAGCGTCACGTAACGAAAAACCCCAATTGAGCTCAATTTCCTCTGAGTGGCACTCTCCGTTCTTCGCTTTCGCTTTTTCGGGCCGGGATGCCAGTAAAAAGGCCGCCAAAGTGGCTAGATTTGTTTCGATAACGCAATCGAAAATCGATGGCAGCCAAATGTCAAATGTGCTGCAAGGTAATACGACAAATTTCCAAATGTATTTGCCGAAAAAGAAATGGACTCCGGTTTCGGCAAATGACTTTAGGCCCTCGTTGGATGTTAAATTTAATAAATATCAAAGCAGCAGTTCTCCACGAAATGGGAATTTAATATTTTGTGCGGGTATTAAATGGCTCGGGGGCGGCGGAAATATAAAGTGTAATCAAAGGTTATTTACTTTGCGTACTTCTGTGACAATAATCTGAAAACACGTGTTGGCTGGCTGCTTCGTTAAAACTTGTCGGCATTGTTAAGCCAAATATTGCGTATCCGCCGGGTGAGCCGAGGGCAGCCCGAAAGTATGCAACACGCACACCTTTGCTCTGTCAAAGAGTATTCAAAACAAATTATGTAAATTATTTCCAGCGCTAACAACTCCATTTCAACGTTGTGCGATAGGCATCTGGAATCTCCTCCACACCCCACCTGCCCAGCATTGTTATAATTGTGGAAAATGTTTTATTAAAAGCCGTCCTGCGAGGCTTGCGTCACTTTCGCCCCGACATGAATGAATGGCCCGGGGAAAAGTGAGCCCGAAAGTCTGGGAATTTGTACAAAATTAAGTTGATTAAATGGACTTAGCAGCGCGATTACACGCAAGGCTGCCCCCGCTTTTCTTTTGGGTCGCTTTTCCAACACACATTTGGCGCACATTTTTCATTCCTTCTCGGAATTCATGGCTGTCGCTTTGTCGAAAGCGGAGGACGGGCAGCAAAACTTCGACCATTGAAATCTCGGGAGCAGTCTCGTGGGAGCAGTCGGCTTTAGTCTCGTTAAATGCCGCATGATTAACGCTTTGCTCTACAAGACAATTGATAAAGAATGGAGAAGCCAGAGCCGGGACCTCAAGGAGCTTTAAGCCGTGTCCGGCTTCAGAAGGAATTACATTCCCGAGGAGCCAAGGACTGCAAACAATGGACACTGCAGCTTAAGTAAAGGGTGGCTGCACAACGTAAGGGGATTTTCCTGATTCGATTTTAGTTTCTTATGTCCAGGGAGTGAAAAATAGATGGACTTAAGGAGCTACAAAATTTTAAGGTCATTTAAATGTTACGAAACATGTCTTTTTACTTAAATGTATAATGGCTACCACAGTGTAAAATAAATAAGACATAATTAAAATGAAAAATTTCGTATTTATTTTCTATTTTTTCCTTTTATTTAAGAGGTGTCAGAACTCTCTATCCACAGGGAATTTAACATGCTGTCAATTTAAGCTTACAAACCTCGCTTTCCTCCGACTCGACAATTAAGGTCTGTGATTCTGGCCAAAAACGGAAGTGCTCGAGCGTCCATAGAAAAGCAAAGCATTTAATGCAGGACTCACTATGTTGCCGGGCTGGTTCTTTTCTTTTTTTTTGTTTTTTGTGGGCCAAAAAACAAAACAGCAAAGAAAGGGAGCCCAAAAAAATAAAAATGAGGAAATTCCTCCAGAGCCATGCTGCGATGGCTGCTGCAGCATTCGCCATGATTAATGTGCTCCTGCACAAAGGAGCCGCATTAATGGGCGGTCAGCGAGGCGTTCCCAGCGACAGCTAGTGGCTTCATTTTAGCAGGAAAAGCGAAAATCGCCTCGGATTCCCTTCAGCATCGCAGCATACCACGTAGTACACTACCCGAAAAATGCGAAAAAGATTGCAGCACGTCTGGCTGAAAAATCCCTTTCTCGGCAATCAGCGACTAGCCCATAAATTAACGCGGCGTATGATTAATATTCGGTGTTCCACCGTCTAATGGCCAGCTCGTGAGCAATTCAAAGTACTCGAGCCGAGCTCCCAGTGTACGGTCTTAATTCCGCCGGATGCTGACGCTTAAATCTTTATTAATATGCATGGTTGGGCCGGAGGATTTCGGGTGCAGCTCGTCTCATCCGTGCGGCGGTTGAAAAATGGTTTCCATTAGTGCCAGCAAATTTGCTCGCTTGTCCCGGCCAGAAAACAACGAAACTGGACGGAAACTGCATTGATTTTGTGGCACGTGGCATGTTCTGCCCGCCTGTCATTTATGTTAATGATACAAGCAAATTGGCATTGGGCTGCGGTCGCAGCTCGGCCATATAGATATAGAAAACAACTGGAGAGGGATGTAGGTCGGCAGTGTTTCCTTTTGGCAACCAGAAAATCTATAAAAATTTAACTAAAATTCCAGCAAAATTATATTTTCCACTAATGGTCGAAAGTCTGGTCAGCGAAAACATTCATAAACATATTTTGGTAACTAAATATTGACATTAAATTTATTGGTAAATACAGAACTGTCACTTATCAGTTTCATAATTAAGGAATAAATATTTACATTTAGTAAAAGAATATCTACGTATATCAGATTACACAATGCTACAATGTCAGTTTAATACATTACTTTGAAATGCTTACTCACATTCCTTGTGAAAGCCGTCAAGTAATTATCGATCGAGTTCCACAACAATTAACATTAATTTTCCCCGATGTTTGACCATGGATCACCATGGAGCTGATGCTTCAGAGGGGCATGTCCACCATCACGGTTCCCACCAGGGAACCCCAGAGTCTGCTCCCCGAGCTCTGCCCACGAAGGACACCATTCCCCTGGGATGTCACACCATGGAGATCATGGAGGAGGCCATGGAGGAGACCATGGAGGGGTCCATACCAAGCACGGGGAGGAGGACACGACATGACCATGTCCATGTTCTTTCACACAGGCGATACGGAGACCATTCTCTTCAAGTGCTGGCGCACTGAGTCCGCCTTGGCACTGACTTTGTCCTGTCTCCTCATTTTTCTTGTGGCCGTGCTCTACGAAGCTCTCAAGTTCTTCAGGGAGTGGCTCTTTGCGAGGAACAGGAGGAGATTGGAGGGCGGAAGGGATCAATACAACCCGCCAAGGAGGTACAGAGAGGCCAACTACAACTACAACCAGCCGACCTATCCGCCAAGGAGCCACCAGCAGACTGGGACCCAGATCTACGCCTATCGCCCCAGGTCGCCATCGATGCCACCTCTGCAGCACGGAGGACCTGGATCCCCGCAGGCCCAGTCCGCGCACATCATGTCCCTACCAACCCATCATCATGTCCAGGAGAACCCCCCGCCCGCTGGAGGTGGCTCCAAGCTCAAGGTCTTCTGCTCCTGGATGCACCTGCTGCAGACCTTCCTGCACGTTCTGCAGGTCTTCATATCCTTCCTGCTGATGCTCGTCTTTATGACCTTTAACGTGTGGCTCTGTGTGGCCGTTCTGCTGGGCGCTGGTGTCGGGTACTACATATTCTGCGCCTTCAAACCAACATCCAGGAGCACTGCAACTGAAAAAAGGAAAACAAGTACCAGGGACCAAGACGAAACGAGACGAGCTGTCTAGGACCCCTGCTAATGTATTTTTCTAATTAAAGCAGGCTGTAAAAATCATAACGGCTTGGGTACCCGGCCTAATTGTTAATGTTTATGGCTCGTAAAACAATGAATGCAGCATCTTCCGCTGGCGAAATTAAGGGGCTTCTGCAGAATGTGGCTTTTTGTGTGTGTGCGCCTATGGCTAACTGGGCGTATGCGCAATACAGCGGGGAGGGGCAAAAGGTAATGGGTGGAAGGGTATTCTTATTTTGGGGTAGTTATGGTTCAGTACTGTCTCTGGAAACAGTATTATCTTTCTGACCTAATGGTCTAATGTGTTTTTATTTATGTAAATATTAATATAAATGGTAGCTAAGTAAAAATAAACCAATAAAAAATGTACTTCCTTGGAACATAAATATAAAGTACCCATGATTTCCTTTAAACACTTGTCCGACATCTGCTGGTTCCTTAGCGTATTGCCGAGTTGGTGAAGCAAATTCTGGGCATTTCAACGCGTTATTCGGATATTTTTGTATCTGCAGCTTTATGGTCTGCCCGCATTTACGAGACGGCCCACATCCCCGTGTGTTTTGGCTCTCGTATGGAGGATGCCCAGGTGGGCCAGGCATCCAAGGATACCAAGGACGCTAAGGATGCCGACGTTTATTGGGCCGTGTCTGGCGCTTTCATTACGCCGTAATTATGAGGGCGATAAAGCAGCGCCGTGTTTACATTTCGGCACATGGGTCCGAATTGAGATGGAAATTGGCATGGAAATGGACGGGCTGCCGCCATTGTTGTCGGTCAGTTATCGGCGCTTCCACTTTCAATTAATATTTTAATAAGCTGACTTTACGCCGTTTTCCGAGCGGATAACGCAATTCGCTCCGTCGCACACAGATACTCGCTGTATGAAATCCACGCGGAGATTCCGGCCAAAAGTCCTTCGTCAGTTGGCCAGAAGGCGGAAGGCCAGAAGCCCAGAAGGCGGCTTTAATAATTCACCCACAAACGTGCAGGTTTACCTTTATGGTCGTGTGCCTTCTGAACAGCCCATTTGCAAGTCCCCCCAGGGAAAACGACTTGGCCAAATGCATGCCCATCAGCGGAACCGGAAATGCGTCGATGCATAACGTACTGTGCAGGTTCAAAATGGCAGGCACAAGCCATGGCCATATATGGATGTTCGTCAAATGGGTTAGGTATCTCAAAGGCAACTCATATACCATTTTAAACATTAAATAAAAACAATTATTCGAAAATAAATTCTAGATCACTTCAACTAACTATTTCTTCCGATGTATGTTTCCCCCAATCGATACGAAGTAGACCTCTAGCTAGAAAATGTACAATAGTCATCATGCTTTTTTTGCTTTAAACTGTTCCACGAATTACTAATCCCAACTGAACCCAAATCACAATTAAAAGCGATGAATTGCGTTGGACAAGTAATTACCCAACTGCAACTAAGTAAAACTACATTTCTTCCTGGAAAAGTTATCTTTATGCCACCAGTTATGCCAGTTAATGGAAAACATCCATTTCTCCGTTCTGAGTATTGACAGTAAAGCCTAAATCGTGGAAGTGGGAGGGCAGGTAGGCCAAAAGGTGGACTCAGTGGCCAGATTACAGAGTTGTGGTTTCATGGCCCCATAGAAGACCCTTTCCGCCTCCATAATGGCTTCCAGGAACCTATTGGTGTGATGTTCCCTGTGTATTTGGCTTATCTTCCTCAGTTTGGCCAGGTCGTTTATGCTATTTCCGCCAGGAAGTGAGGGTATATTCACCAATTTGGTGCGCATCAGCCATGCTATTTGGTCCATGACCACTTTATCCTTGGCGAAGATTCTTTCCTTTTCTTTGTAGGAGTAGCGTTTCCCATACCGAAGACGTATCCATTCGATGAGATAGGGTACGGAATGAACATCAGGCAAGGTGGGCAGTACATATCTTTTATCCTGCGCCACTTTCTCAAGACCCAACCGCAGCATCTCCTTCATCAGGGGGATGTTTTCGGGATCGTAGAATCCTGACCGAAATTCAACCGATCATTGTGGTTCTCCTCGCGTATTTCTGCATCTCTTTTTCGCTGTAACTTCTCCAGTTCCTTGTGAAAGGTCTTCACATCCTCGGCGAAAACCCGCTTGGCTGCCCTATCCACCAAGGCATCCAGGGAACCCTCTTCCTCGCCATCCAAAGCCGCACTGAGGTACTGCACATCATCGTCGATAGCCCGCACGAAGGCCTCCTTCAGACGCATCCTTTCGTCGTCCAATGAGTCCTATGCAGCGAGCCAAACAACTCACGATAGTTGAATTTGAAGTGATTAGTTCCTGGCAGACCCAGCTGAAGGATCTTGGGTTCTTGATCAGGAGGAGGGGAAGGATTTGGTTCCCGTTTGGGATCCAAATCCTCCTCCTCATCCTCTTCAATGGCACACAACTTGAGAACTGCATCAGGCTACTGGGTCGATGATTTGGGTTCGCTCCTGGGGTAAGCCCTCTTGGGGATTGTAAATATGGCACTTGGCGCACTTAGCAGGTTCGGCTGGAAATCGGGACAGTCTGGAAGATGGGTCTATCACTTTTAATAGTTTAACCATAATGTCCTTGAATTCATTTTTGCCCTTTCGTGGAGTGCGTTGATGTTTTTATCGACTATTTAAACTTCTTATCCGATGTTCGCTTGGACTTCCTTCTCCGATTTTTGATGTAGATCTGGACCTGCTTCTAGATCTCGATCTTTTTGATTTTGACTCCGCTCCACTTGGCAACCTTCTCACACTACTGGATCTGCTACTCTTTCTACTACGTCTTTTTATAACAGGTTTTTCTAATCGCCTATCTGCCTCGAAGGTTTGGCACTTTCTTCCTCAAAATCATCGCACATGTTTTCATTTTTCGGGATATCAAAGTTAAATGACTTCTTGGAACTCCCCCAAAAGTTGCTTCCTGGTGGAGGCCAATCTGGCCCTGGCAGCCATTTCCTGGAAACGCTTCAAGTAACAGGCCTACTTTCTTCCAGCTCCTGAATCACCCGCTTTCTCCGCCTTTCTTCCAGTCGATTCTGACGTTTATGAGCTCTTCGACTTTCTCTGCTTCATCCGCTCCAGTTGGATCTTCAGGGACCTTTCCATCTCCCGAATGTACTGATGATGGGTGCACAAGGACTCCACATCCTGCGGTGGCAATGAGGCCGCCTTGAAGGACTCAAAAATGCTGTTTAACTCCTGGAATATGATGGATTTACCCACTCGCTGGGCCTCGTCTAGAGTGTAGCTACCAAACCAGCGGACCACAGACCAGTTTCGATGGGTTCTTCGTCCATGTCGAAAAAAATGCTGGAGTATCGGGATGATCGGAGAGCATCCTGCGATCGTGTCGGGTTTTTCCGGCAATATTGGGTTCCTGAAAGTAGGGCGATAGAGGTGTTGTGAGCTTGGCCTTTCTGGCCATCTCTTTCTGGCGTTCCTCTTCCCTTTCTTTTTTTAGTCTTTGACTTCTCCGTCTTAGGAACTCAGCTTTATCCCTATCCGATTGGCAGGAATGTGGCAGGGGAGCCAGCGATCCAGTTCCCTGAGAGTGGGGAGCAAGTCCAAACGGAAGATGGTCGACATTATGATCTGCTCGTTGATACTGTAAGTCTCGCCGTGTTCGGGGTCTTGTAGCACATTTCCATGAGGAACCAGAGAAAGGCCAGATCATTACCCCGACTGAGTTCGATCACCTGGCGAAGGGATTTCCACGGCGGAGTAGGATGCAATCCCAGTCGCACCATGAGCTTAGCCACCTCCGAGGCCGTCTTCTTGTCCATATTGCCCCTCAGGAGATCCGATAATCGATTGGCTGCCGCCAACTGGGATTGGGAGAGTCCACGATACCAGCTTATCTTCCTCTGGGCCACCTCGCATCCCTTTAATGGCGCCAGGCGCTCCAAATTCGACGCCAAGTCGCTGGGTGAGCCCACTATTTTGATTTTCCATCGCAGATTTAATTTGGTGCAATATATAAAAAAAGGTAAACAAATGCAGGAAGAATTTAATTTCAATTTTGTCAGCTTTGTCAAAGTGTAAAGTGTGAAAAATATTTTGAGAAGGAGTCTACTTTTAATCAGATGTCAGGAACACAAGGAGTCCTTAAAAAGTTAACAAGTTTAAGTTTTACCTAAAGAGATTCTCAAATGTTCTGTCATGATTTGCTATCCCACCTTAACGATTTCCCAATAATGTTTTCGGGGCTTTCGCCAGCTTAGTCTTATGATCCAGTGGAGTGTTTACATCTGCCTGTTTGGCTAGGCACTTCCACAATGGCCGAAAGATAAATGATTTGGCCGGGTATTTTATTTGGGCCAGTCCCAGTGACGCCTCTCCTCGTCCTGGAAAGGACACACACATCCTGAATTCGTCACACGGCCGCTGGTGCCTCCTTTAATGTCCTTCTGGGCTATAAATTGCCTCGCGTGCGAGTGTCGCCAAAGTGTTTGTCACAGAATCGTCCTCTCGCAATTCCTGCCGAGATTTTCGGGGGCTGCGCCCCGACGAGTGTATCATTAATTTATTAGCAAACCAAATAGAAATGTTTTTGCTTTCACGCACGCCCGGTCACACACGTGTTTCCCCGGGATCAAGGACCTTCTTTCTTTGTTTTGCCAAGTGGCACGGGCATCCCCACAATTAGCCCTAATGCCGCAGGATATGCTTCCTGTTCGCCCATCTCTGGCATGCCCATGCCATATAATTTATGACTTTGCACTGTCAATTAAATTCTTTAGAAAATGACAGTTTTGCCATTTGCTGACATCGTGATCCCCTGTTTTTTCGGTTTCTATTTCGGTTCCAGGCAGGTCGCCCCATGATTTATGCATCTTTTTAGACACGGGTTCTTTGTTTTTGAGAGGTTCTGATTCTGCTGGCAGAGCCTTTTAGTGGTACACAAATAAAAAACAAATACATTTTATATTTATACTTTTATTGCATATGTAGATCAACAACGCACAATTTGTATCATTGAAAAGTTTTATATTGATATTGTAAATTTCAAATATGTGTTTGCAAGACGGCGACTTTGTTCTGATTGATGATATCATATCATTCCAGTATTTTCTTATATATCCTTAGGTACATAAGTTGTTATAAAAACACAATCAAGGCGAGTATCATATCATATTATTTTTGAAAAGTGTATTTACTTGTGGGTTTTCTGGGCAGCAACGCCTGCAGAGTTGTTTATGTTAATGACCTTAACTGAGGCTTAGAACCTGCTCCTTTTTGCGGCCATCGGCATGTGTTCCTGCTCATTGCAAAAGGCTCTCACAGATGCCAGATCTTAATAATAGATATGCTCGCATTGTCAGGTGGAACTTATCGCATCGGGCATATATCAAGGAAATTAAAGTGCTTCCTTGACAACTTTACCCTGGTTTTTTTTCCGGCCCTGCCAGATTGCGTGACCAGGTTGTGGCTTATGGGTTATTGTGGGGTTGCTGAAATCGTTATAGTTACCGTGTTACCACAGGACCCACATAAAGTGAATGCCCCTGGATTTATGGCATCTCATCGGTTATTGATGTTGTTCCAAAAAGAAGCGAAATATGTACACATAAATGAATTGGGGCACTTTTTAATATGGCGCTGGGCATGAGCGCTTTTTCCCCGTCTCTGGTGGAATTGATAAACTTTCTTTTCGGGCGAAGCGATTAATACGAATGTTCGAGTTGCAATCGCTTCTTTTCCCGTCCTTTTCGGTTATTTATAGAATGTAGTTGGCCTTGCCGAACTTGGGCAGCCAATCAATCATTATGAGTTGCAATTGGATTTTTTCGAGAGCAGCTTTAAAAGAACATAAATTGATGAGGTTATATTTATTGCCTGCTGTATTTATTATTGATATTTTGTTTCTATTTTAAAAAATGTAAATTTATAAGCTCAAAAGCAAAAAGTTCAATACGACTGCAATAGATTATCCCATCTTTAGCTCAGGTAACTGAAATGTCTAAATATTTTTGTGGAACAAGGAATTTAAAAGGTTAAAGGCCTAAATGTTTTCCTTTATTTTCCGCGCATGTACATACACATATCTTACCATGGCTTTCGGTTTTGCGGCTTGGTCCGTTCTCAAATCAGATTTTCGCGCCTTTTGCGCCCGAACGCGTCCTGCGTTTTCCTTGAAAATTTGCGCTCCAATGAGTCGGCAACTTGGCAGACCCTTTACCTATACATAAAGCCCGGATACAGAAAGCCAGAGGTGGCGGGGATTTGCACCGACTGGAAAATGGGAACTGGGAAACTGGGAAATGCCGCAAGCCAGGCTTATGCTAAGTCGCTCCTGCGTTCGACCGACTTTATGGCATCACGTGCTATGGGCCGACTTCAGCCGGGATTATAAAATATATGTTTGGGAATAGCTGGCGGCGCACTTAACCTATCTGGGGATGAGTGGGCGGAACTAGGAAGGATATTGGAATCGCAGGGGGGATGTATCTCTTGACAACTCACATTATTCAGATACCCACAGTTACGAATGATGGCAGCTGTAAAAGTGAAAGCATGTTCGCATATTTTTACCCCTTGGCGTAATTTAACGAGCTCCTAACTTTATGTTTGTTTGTCGTGTACACATTTTGTTTTTATTGGGGCTCGCGAGCAGCTTCCCTGCTTAAGTGAAACATTTTTAAAGGCGGTGCTTCTTTTTTTTGGTTCCTCGCCCCCTCATCAGTTTTGGTTGATGCGAAAAAACCCCAAATACACGAAAAAAGCGGCAAGAATAATAACTGGCATTTGCTTGTTGCTCCTGTTCGAGTTCGTCCTTTGGATCCTGTGGTTGTTACACGAAACCCCGGGGCTTTCGCAAATGCACGATGCTTAACTTTTTCGCCAGAACAACTTCTGTTTGCTGTGCGCCATTTGTTTATAAATTTAATTTGTCTTAGCAAAAACAGCGACGACTTGTTGACTTATCGAGGGTGAAGTTTCCATTTTCCTTTCGGTTTCCCGCCTTTAATTCTGCAGCTGGCAAATGTGTTTTGCATATTTGGCCAGGATTTAATGCAAAAGTAAATGGGAATTCATAACCGAGTTAGCAATGTCAGCCTTTGGTACTCAAAAATTTATAAGGCTTCCAATGCGCTTACTCGACAATTTTGTAGCCAACTTGTAAAGCCAGGGGCTGCACAGAAAAAAACGTAAGGAATAGCCCATCCCTGGGATATGAAACTTTATCTTAGATATCTCTAAATTATTTGGTTGCATTGGCAGTTAGCTAAATAGTTCAAAACCCTAGAAAATTTAAAAATCTTATGACCATTTCCAAACGAAATGTTTCATATATGAATTTCTTTCAGTGCCTGCACTTGAGCCAAACAATGATTTGTAATATGCAAAATTCCCCTGCACTATTATGGGGAGCCTGAGCGCACTATCACCCAAAATCCACCCACTTCCCACGAATATATGAATATATGTGTACTCGCAAGGAGGTCTTTGTGCCCTGGAATTTTATGCGTTATTGAATTTCACTTAAAGGCAACTCATGCCTGCTTATTTATGTTGTCTGAGAGTGTGAGACAGGATGGGTGGTTGGAAAATTCCACTTGAGTCGGAACTTGAGACTTCAGGTTTTAGTTTTTTGTCTTTGGGGATGTGGGACTTACATTTTGGCATGTGTCTGGTCCACTGGGAGAGTCTGCAGAAAATAATATTTAAAATGGATGGCTTAAAAGTTTAAAAACTCGTTGTCAACCGAAACTTTTTTGATATGTTAAATGTTTGCTACTCATTAGAAGCTCGAAGGAGGACACATATTAGACCAGTTGAGGAGTTGTGGGCCAATTAGGGGAGTCTCCATGGTAAACATACCTCTCAGCATGTTGGCCAGTTTCGGTTGCCATCGAGAATCACCAACGGCATACGAAATGGCGGAGTACAGAGCATAGTTTCGGGCCAATTGACAGAAGCGTCAGGCTGACACGACCATGGCAAATAGAGGTCCGTGTGTGGCGGTCTGTGTTGCAAACACACACTCCAAACAATTGCCAAACAAAAACACCTAAACACACTCACACACCGGATCTGGATGGGCGCCAAAAGGTTTCGAGTTTTCGGCTGGCAGGCAGGCACTAACTGAAATTAAACATGAAAAATGCAGCAGTTTGAGTGGGAGTAAAGTGAATGCACTGCAAGAAATACATACTAAATGGAAACTCACTCTACATTTGGAAATGTAAGTTAAGTCCTGTAAGAAGGTGTTTAAAAGTATGCAACAAATTCATCTCTAAAGACGAGTATACTTTTTAACTGCATACTTTTAGGCACCTTGTTTTAAATAATTTAAAATTCTCATGATTTTTCTTCTAAATTGTAGAAATTAACAATTAAATAATATATTTTATTATACATTATTCATTAATAGGAAAGGACTATTCGATTTCAGGGACCTTTCTCACTGTGCAGATGTTGCTTTCAGCTGGCGTATCAGTTGGCAGCTGGTTTTGGCCAACGAAAATACTAGGCGATGGCTAAATATGTATGCAGCCGTGTTGTTGGGCTTTCGCTGATGGATTCAAATTGTAAATTATGCAGCACGCCAAATTTGAAATGCAAACAAACTAGGCGGAGAACACAACATACCCGCAACCAAGCCCATGTGGCAATCCTGGATCTCATAATGGGCTGGTTGGGCTAGTTCCTGGAATCGGATTCACCAGTTTAATTATTGAGCATTATCTTCGGCCACATACTGGGCTTATAAGCTCGAATAACCGCATGAGTTAAATTCATACACATACAAATTCGTCGAAACAATGCAACTTGCATGCCTTTAAATAATCCCATAAGCTTGCAATCAATGGAAATTGTATCTAAATAGAATTTAGCCAGGTCTTAATCATAAATCCTATTTAATTTAACAATCACATTTAAGAGATATAATAATTAAAAAGGAATTTATTTTTTTACAAAATTAGTTTGAGGCCCAAAGAGCTGAAAAACCACATAAAAAATGCTTTTATTCAAAATGTATGGTGGAAAATAAACCCATGAATAGGTATAAATAAAATGAAGCAACTG